AGAGAGAGAGAAGATTGCTGATGCAAAAAATATCGGAAAAGTGCTAGGAGGGGTCATATAGAACTAGGGGGAAACAGACACAGCCAAAATAATCAGCTATAGATTCCAAATGCATGTAAAACAAGGAGCTGGGGGACCTCTGGGAAGGCCTGAATAAAGATGGCAGGGAGGAGGTTCTAGTAAAAATCCAAGAAATAAATGACCTCTAAGGCGATTGCCCTACCACAGTGGGTGTTTAGTAAATCACAATGATGGCAACTAAATGGCAGTGTAATGTAATGGAAATAAAATGGAATTTAAATACAGAAGTCCTAGTAGCTGTAACCTTGGGCAAGTCACTTCATCTCTTTTGAGCTTTGAGATGTTTGTTTGTATAAAGGGGTCAATAATAATTCTTGCCTTTTCTATTTTACAGTGTAGTTTAGAGAAATATTGGTGAAAGTCTTTTTTAAAAGTTAATGTGTGCTGAAGGTAGTGACTGGAATACAGAAGAGTTTCTGGGGTGCTGGTAACATCTGCTTTTTGGTCTGATGTAAAACAAGGAGCTGGGGGACCTCTGGGAAGGCCTGAATAGAAATGGCAGGGAGGAGGGTCTAGCAAAAATGATTACATGGGTGTGTTCACTTTGTGAAAAGTGAGCGAGATTTGTGCATTTTTTTTTTCTGTTATACTTTCCTAAAATGTTTACTTTTAAAAGTTAGAGTAGCTCAAAACAGTTTTTAAAGTTAAAACGATGATGATGATAAGGACAAGGAAAATAATGTGGGCCAGAGCTCACAGTCTATGTTCATTTCTTCCTAGTCATCTTATCACACCCAGAGACTCAGGATTCAAAAAAGGGATGGGTGATCATAATCACTTGTTTTCTCTGTCTGTCTTTTGCTTGTTACTGAATAGTGAAGAAGCAGGAGGAATGAACCAGGAAGTTTCCTGCATGCCAGAAGGGTCAACGATAAAAAAAAAAATAGAGCCCAAATTGTTCACATCAAGGGAGACATGTGATTAGAGAGATGTGACATGCAAAGAAATTATCTAAAAAGTGAATTCGGTTGAGAAAGTATAAGCCCCAAAGAGCCTTGAGCAGCTGGTCATGATCAGATTCTCCATCTTTCTGTCAAATGTAATCGTATCCGAGTTGGCAGGGTATTTATTACTAAAGTCGAAGGGCCAGATTTTACACTAAACATATTTACACATTTACATTTGTGGCCCTATAAACACTCCACGTTTCACTGGCCATGACATCAAACACATTTACCAACAAAAAGCATATGCCTAATTACAAAATCATAGGGGAGAAAGAAGGCAAGTGGCAGCTGATGGGCAATGAACGTGCATGCCTGTGTGTGCATATGTGTAACACAGCTGCAATACCAGGAAACCAGTAGAGACAAGAATGGATGCTGACAATGCCAGGCCCACTTCACTTGTTCTTTGCTCCCCAGGCCTGTACTTGTCTGGTTCAGTTCTAAAGGGGTAAGGGGACCCCTGGCATTCTAATTAGACCCACGGTGACACCCTTCCCCGAGGAGCCCAGAGAGGCCAGGGTGGTTCTCAGGCAGATTCTGATATGGATTGAATTTGAGGCTGATATGACCTCTAAGTTGCCCCCAAATGACTTTTTCTCAGTCAGTAATAAAAAAAAGGTGTGAGCAAAATGTGTAGCCAGTAGAGAATTTTAAAACTAAAACTAGAGTCTTTAATTCCTGGCTTTGAGTAGTAAGATCAGATCCCTACCCATCAATAGCAGTTGTAATAACACTGTTAGCTGCTCTAAGCTTGGTCCTTGGTTAAGCAAGGAAATCAGAGCCACTGGGGCCATGGAGGGAAAAACAAAACAGGCACAACCACTGGCCTCAGACAGCCTTTAATAAATGACACAGGCTGGTATTCCATCAAAATAATCACCTTCCATCAGAATAACCACCTCCCCCAGCTCTCTCAGAAGACAGGCTGCAGGAAGAAATGATGGGCTAAAAAAAAAAATTAAAAAGTGAAGGGCAGAAGCCTTTCTCCCAGATGGATGCTTACTACATTTACTGTAAGAAATTTGATAATAAACGTACCCCAAATTTCACTTCCATCAACAGAAACTTTGGGCAGGAAAGGGCCACGGAATAGGGGACAAAGAAATAGAGATGTGCAAACATTCAGAGGCCTCAGTGAGTAAAAACTAGGGGGGAAATGGGTCCTCATTTTTCCACTTCCCCTCCCCAGTTCGCCTTTTCTTTTTTTAAGAGGAAGGGAAGTGGCTCTTAAATGCATGGGATGGAGATAGAGAGTAAACACGTTTTTGAGCAAAAGCCCCAGCTTCTCATTTTAAAGAAATAAAATAATTACCCAATAGAGAAAAAAGAAACCAACCAAGAAACGAGCTAAGGTCATGACACCATGTGTGGTACAAGGAGCAATTCAATCCATAAGGGCTTCATTACCCCCGCAATAGATAACATTTGGCTAAATCTAGCTGCAGATTAAATCTCTGCGGCACAACAGAGCTCTGAATGGAGAGGCGTCTTTTTGTGTGGTCCTTCTCCGAGATCTGCCCGAACCATTAGCCCCAATATATACCCCTCTCCCTATTAACTGCAATTCTCTCCCGACTGCGCTTCCGTCATTTGTCTCCAAGCTCTACCGGGGCGTTTGATGAGCAGAGAAACGAGAAGGCAAGAAAAGCGTCGGGTTAATGAGTTGTAGCAAATCCACACTTTGTAGTTGGGAGGAGGAGAGCTGGTGGCCAATGTTTGTCCAACTGGTTTATTTTTCGAGACCCAGCCTATTGAGGAAGACTTGTTCAAGCAGGCTTCATCCTTACAAACACACAAACATCCTTCTGTTTGCCTTCAAAGAAAAGGGGACCAGAGCTGGATTTGCATGCGAATGAGGAGCCCCGGGAGGAGACGTCCTTGCGCATCAAAGGCCGCGGTAGTCGGGCGGCCTTTGTTCCAGCACCTGCTCGCCCGCGCGGCCTGACTGGGCGCGCCCGGCGCTCCTGGCTCGCGGAGTCCACGGCCCACCGCCCGCTCCTCGCCCGCCCCGCAGCCTATGACCCACTCCTCTCTCAGCCCACACATCGCCCGGCCCGCTGCCCCATTATCACCTCCACCAGCAGGCCAGGACCCAGGGCCCAGCAAAGCGGACCGTAAAACCCCAAGTCGCGAGGGTGGAAAACTCGAGAATGAGGCAGGCGGATCGAGTTTACTTTTTCTCATGGCTCATGGCTCTGGGCTCACCATGAGCTAGCAGTCTCTTTAGCAAGCTCGGATGAAGCGGGACCCGAACTCCGGGACTCGGAGCGAGGCCAGCGCTGGATCATCCAGCGCCTACTTGCCATTCCCTTAAAGGGACTGACAACCTCGGAGGTAGGGCCGGTCCTGGCACTTTAAAGATGCGGGAATCTGAACAGAGGGATTAGTTGGGATTCCCTGCTTTCAGGACATCCAAGCATCATGCAAGTAATAACACACATGTGTTTATTCTTTCGCTCTCTTCATCATAACTTTCAAATCGAAATTTCAGATCTATGCGTTACAGAAGGCTGAGAGGCGCACCAACAGTACCTGTACTGTTTGGATTCCGTCTGCTAACGCCTCTCCACTCGGGGCAGCAGTGACATCCAGACGTCCTTGGTTACCAAAGTTTTCTCTCTCAGCCGCGCTAGGATGAAAGTAACTTTTGCATATAAGATTTTGGTCTAATGATACTTCAATTTGTACCTATATATAATGATAAGTTTGAGGATGAATGTTTGCCTTAAACTCATTTAATCTCTTCCAAACATTTTATAGGAAAAAAGAAAAACTTACTGAGTCACTTTTTCCTCCCTAAAAATAAACAAGATGACAGCACATCAAGAATGAATGTCACTGCAAAATATTGGCCTATAACTCAGTCTTCGTTAACTTGCTAGGTTAAATCTGCAGATCTTCAGATATACACCTGTCCAGATATTTGGAAAAAATTTAATGAACAGATTTTACCTCCTCTGCAACGCACTGATATTACACATTTAAATTTTGTATTACACATACCTTGGTTTTATTTGGAGCCCACAATAACATTTGTAGTCATCAAAATTAGAGTCTCACATTTTTTCAGAGAACTAAAAATTACCTGCAACAAGTAATGAAAACACTTAGAATTTGAAAGATATCCAAAATTACCTACATTGTAAAAATATAATTAATTCAATAAACACCAGATGTGTTTTCATTCTTTGAATTTTGCACTATTCTAAAATTGAAGATTTCACTTACACACCCTGTTATTCATTTAAACTAGAATTTGATAAGTTTGCCTTTTAGGATAAAAACTTTATGCAATTACTGGAATCTTTTCTGTTGAGAAAATAGCTTTAAATATCAAGACTTTCAAATGCAATTGATTTTGTATACTTAAATATTTTATTTAGAACTGTAAAGCCATTTGATGACGTCTATTAAATTTTTAAAACTGAAAAGTCCCTATGTATTTGTGTTGCTTCTATTACAATATAATACTGTTGCAGAGGTTTTACGGATATATACAATATTGTGCTCAAATGTGAGCAGAAATTATTTGAAGTGTGAAGCTCAAAAATAAAATGAAAACTTCTATAAAATTATCCTAGGGTAATTGTGGCTTTAATTTTAAATAGCTTCAATGCTCTTAAAAATGGAATAAAATGAGATTTGAAAATGTATACCAAAGTGACTTATTTGTAGTCATTTAAAAATAACTTCTGAGTTTCTGCAATAGTTTTGACTTAGAAAGTATAAATAAAAAATCATGGCATGATGCTTTTGTTAAATCCTCTTTGAAAATATTTGCCTTTTTAAAAAATATGGGTTCCCACTTATCTCACATAGAAACTTTTTTAACAGAAAATAAACTAAGGGAACAACTGGAGCCAATTTTTTTGGTGGATTTTTTGAAAATTAAGCATTTTATTTCTGAAAAAGTGTAAAAATCTTATGTTAGAATAGTACAATAATTGCCAGTAAAATTTACAATACTCCTTGTAAAGAATACGCAGTACGAACAAAATAAAAATTCCGCATGTCTATTATGATACAAAACACAGGTTAAAGTAAGAAGTTTTGAATTGTTTCCTTGTGTAAACATGTTAAGTTTTTTTTTCTTCTCATGAAAAAGCACACCAGACAAGTCTCTCCAAATAAAAACTATTGCTTCGCTGGATTTCTTTGGGACCTTTACTATTTTTGCGTTATTCTTTTGAACATATTGATTTGTCTAAATCCCTAGACCTGAGAATCTCTAGACCTCAAAAAGGCTTAGATTTTTAAAGATTTCCCAAAAGTCAAGGAAGCCCCTGTGCCTAGACAGAGCAGACCCACCGGCACCCTCTTCCTCCCTGCCCCAGGTCGGGGACTGCAGCATAGGGCGACTTTGCATAAATAGAAGGACCCGCAAAGCCGTTGCCAAACACAGTCCTGTCTGAGAATCCGAAGCGACGAAAATGGGGGCGCGAGGCCGGGAGGAGCGAACAAAACACCAAACCACCAAGACGAAAAAAGGGGCCGGGATTCCTACCTTCTGTTTCTCAAGCGCGCTAACATAGCGTTATTAACAATTGGAAATCCTAGCGGTAAAGTTCTCGACACTGGACAGGGCAGTCCCTTGGTGCAGAGTCCCCAGGGCGGCCGACGAGGACACGGAGGAGGCGGCGGCGGCCGCGGCAGCCACGAGGGAGCGAGTG